TCAATTAGCATTAACGGTATATTATTATTGATATATATGAACTTTATAAAACATTAATAATATTTATCCTTATAAAAAAATATTAAAATATCATAAAACGAGTTATATAACGGGACGGATTTGGATTGATATAACACGAGTTAAATCTTTATTTATTATTTTATCATCACCAAATTTTTTATTTACAATATTATATAAAATTATATAACTTTAATACTAAATTTAAACCATAAAATTTAATATTATTATATATATGAATTAAACATTTTTCCTGTGGTGTACCACGGGTTAAATCCTAGTTTAAGCTTAATCATGTATCTCATTTACGTTTAATGAAGGTTTTACTATGGTTGATAGATTGTGTTGGTGTGTTGGTCAACAAATTCCAGCACAAAATAGTTGTGTTAGAGGAGAAAAGAGATTGATAAATATGTAGAGGACATGAAGATAAAGGGTGAGAGTGATATTTTGATCTTGAAAAAAATAATTATGGAGTAACTGATAAGTGATCATGGACAAAAATGAAATTAAGAGAATGATTTTCCATTCATTTAATTTGTTTAGATAACTTCATCTTCTTCTTTTTCTTCATTCTCTTAATTTCAACTTTGTCCATTATCATTCAATCCAATCACTCATCAATCAATTAGCCTTGACTAATTGTACAGACATAATAATTAAATCAGTAAAAGTCAAAAGCTATTATCATCAAGCAATGGAATCCCATCCCAGACTGCAATTAACAAATGGCAATTGAGAGTTTAACAGAATTTGACAACTTCTTTTTGTTTTTCTAATTGACAACTTTTTATTTGGTCAAATCCTATTGAACTATAATATACTATTATTATAGTTTATTGGTGCTAAGAATGTGAACCAAAGTGATTAGTTAGCAAGTAATAACCTTATTGCACACTATAATACTTTCTTATATTTCTTCTAGTATGGTTACGTTTTAGTGTTAAACTAAAAGAACTGACAAAAAGAAAAAAATTAGATATAGCCATTAGTTATAACTTATAGCTCATGATGTCACATATGTATCATGTGGCTTACATTTGTTCAATTATCCCAGAGATAGTGATTTGTTATCCATAAGCCATATCACTAACCTTTTTTATGGACAGATTCCAAGTCTTCAAAATAAAATTTCAACTACATGTATTACTCTACATAATAAGGTTGGAAGCTGATTTATGCAACGAAGCCATCTTTTTTATACTTCCTACGATCTTTAAATAAAAATGCTCAGAGGTACAGAGGACACAATCCAAGGTGAAATAAAAAAGTGAACCAAAAATTAACGAAATAGAAGTGTCTTAAAATTAAGCAGATAGAGATAGGGAACGAAGAAATAAGATCGTTGAACAGAAAAAACTTGAAACAATCTAGTTTTGCTCTTGGGCTTCTGCAGCCTCCTTCTCTTCATTAGCTGCAGCCATTAGTTCATCAAACTTCTCAGACTTGGCAAGCGTGATCTCAATCTACAAGTCACAGTGTCACCAATTTAGCAACCAACATAGCAATTTCCCAGAGAACAAAAATCATTAGACGGAAGCTAGAATTCCACAGCATAAGCAATTTATCAAATGATTCGAAAATATATACCTTAGCTTTCTGCACAGGACGACCCCTTGAATCATCCTTGATATCCACAGTCGATGTCATGATCTCTGCAGGAAAAAACAATATCCAAATAAGCAAAACTTAGTCACTGAATCTTTCAAATCTCTTGTGCTAACATTAACTCATTCAAGATTAAGAAGATCTTACTCTTTTCAACAGCAAAGCCATTGTTCTTCAATATCTCAGCGACCGTAACAACAGTGGCAATAGCTGCACAACGCACAAATCAATGTTTTATGAGAAACCAGAATAAACTCTTCCAATAAAGAAAGCTCGGATAAGATATTACAAAATCACAGAAGATAAAAGATTCTATGTCATAACAATAAAAGGAAACAGCTTTTCTGATAATAACTTTGAATTTAATGAACTCAGTTACATAGTTTAAAAACCATACATATTAGATTTGATATATAAACAAGATCATAAAGAATAAACATTACCCATTCCTAGTGCAGACAATTCGACATCAGTGTACTGCTGCATGTACCTCTGTTAACAAAACACCAAACATGGTCAATAACATAAACAGGTTTAATCAAATCTAAAGAGCAAAACAAAGTTCACAAATCTAAGGAACAAACATTGATAAAGAGTCACATAAACAACACAGAACCACCAGTAATAACTCATCAAAGTCAATAACAGATAAATTAACACTCATGAACAATCACAGACATTTCCAGACTTGGTACTCAAATAAGAACACTTCGAATCCATAGATTTCAATCTAAATACGAATTTATTAAGATTCGATTAAAAGGGTTTCGTTACCTTGGCGAGATTGACGTAGAAGAACAATGGTTTCTTAGTGTTGGAAACTTGAATCCGATTCTTCTTCTGGGTATCAACAGCCAAGTTCATGTTGTTAACTCCTTCCGTGATCTCTTCCATTGAATCTAACTCAGAAAAATTAAAACTTCTCCTCTCGAATTTAGATTTCTCTCTCACTTTTATCTCAGAAAACGAATGAAATTGAAGAGACAGAGAGACGACGATGAAGCTTGAACCAAACCCCCAAAAAACCCTAACTTGAAATGCCAAACGACATCGTTTTAACACAACCTACACAAATGGGCTAGGCTCCAGCCCAATAGGCCCAATTGGGGGGAAAATTAATTCTGCGATGAGCAAAATCGGCGTTATCCGATCAGATCGTTGAATTGAATCTTCGAGAAGACTCTTCTTTTGATTCAATCACTCACCGGAGAAGAAGAAGAAGCTATGCCGGTGTTCAAAGCTCCGTTCAATGGCTACTCTGTGAAATTCAGTCCATTCTACGAGTCACGCCTCGCCGTCGCTACAGCTCAGAACTTCGGAATTCTCGGAAACGGCCGAATCCATGTCCTCGAGCTCGCTCCTGGAGCTCCAGGCGTAACTGAATCCGTCTCGTACGATACAGCCGACGCTGTATACGACGTATGTTGGTCAGAATCTCATGACTCTGTGCTCATCGCCGCAATTGGTGACGGCTCAGTGAAGATTTACGACACAGCTCTTCCTCCTCCTTCTAATCCGATTAGATCATTCCAAGAGCACGCGCGTGAGGTTCAATCTGTGGATTACAATCCCACGCGGCGCGATTCGTTTCTCACTTCTTCGTGGGATGATACGGTTAAGCTTTGGGCTATGGATCGTCCGGCGAGTGTAAGGACTTTTAAGGAACATGCTTATTGCGTTTATCAAGCAGTTTGGAATCCTAAACATGGTGATGTGTTTGCTTCTGCTTCTGGAGATTGTACTTTAAGGATTTGGGATGTTAGAGAACCTGGATCAACTATGATCATCCCTGCTCATGATTTTGAGATTTTGTCTTGTGATTGGAATAAGTATGATGATTGTATTTTAGCTACTTCTTCAGTGGATAAGACAGTTAAGGTTTGGGATGTTAGGAGTTATAGAGTTCCTTTGGCTGTGCTTAATGGTCATGGATATGCGGTGAGGAAGGTGAAATTCTCGCCGCATAGGAGGAGTTTGATAGCTTCTTGCTCTTATGATATGAGTGTTTGTCTTTGGGACTATATGGTGGAAGATGCTTTGGTTGGTAGGTATGATCATCATACAGAGTTTGCTGTTGGGATCGATATGAGTGTTCTTGTTGAAGGTTTAATGGCGAGTACTGGTTGGGATGAGCTTGTTTATGTTTGGCAGCAAGGGATGGATCCTAGAGCCAGTTGATTCATAAGTAAGTTTGTGATTGCAAAACAGTTTCATCTTTATTTGTTGTGGAATTGGTTTGGTTTTTGTTAAAGGAATGTAGTTGGAATAAAGTTGGGATCTTGCTTAAGAAGAAATGTAAGTTACTGAGAGTTTCACATATGAACAAGGTTATCTTTCGAATTGTGATTGATGGTAATAGTAGATAGATTGCTTATGTTCTAGTGTATATGTTAACCTGTTACAATGAGACCTGATTAACATATATATTAGGACTAAGATATATGTTAATCTTCTATAATGTCCAAAGTAATGACATAATATATATAAAGTCAATTACTTTAGGGTAATGTACCTTTTATAGTATACTGTAGAATTCGAATTTTGTTCTTTTTCATAGTTGATTGACTTTATTGAGTGGCATAAATGTACATATTTATAACTTTCTAGAGCATATTGCAGTTTCGAGCTTTTGCATTTTATGCGTCTTCAGGTAGAAGCTTATTAAAATCACAAGAACATTCTTACGGATCTTCCATTTCAAGAATCACTTTCTACTTATTACTTTACTATTATACCACTCTCTTTTTTATCTTATTCCATAGTATTAAAGATTCTTTTATTTTCTTATGATTTTTTTTTTAATATAGTACTCCGATCCCAAACAAAAGATCTCAAAACACATTTTGTCAAGTCACAAGACTCACAACCGTCTCAACTTTTGGACTAAATTCAAATCAGACAAATAATTGGGTTAAACATATGAAAGGGCTTGACATTATATCATATAGTATTAAAGTGAACTATAATATTGCTTTATCCACGAGGTCAAGAACATACTATATGTAATAGACACACATTAGTATTGACTTTTTATGTTAAAACTAGAGATTAAATTTTGTGAATTTAAATGACACATGTACGATCTTTTACTTTTGTTGTGATGCACGCGGAAGATGTTGCGAAGGATTAGAAATTGTTAAAAGAGAAGAAGGTGGTAGACTGCTCTTCATTTAGGAATATTTCTGACCATAAAACTTGTGGCATGGAAGATTATTCCTAAGAAATTATACGAAGAAGAGATCATTGTCGGAATAAAACATCGGTCTTATTTACAATGCAGTAGCATTGTACCGTGGAATATGCTTCTTTCCAAGTTTATATAACATCAAATTTGCAAGTTACAATTGTGAACATGTGAGATGGATCAAAGGTGGAAATGCATTACAGGGTAAGATCTCTATTGGCAGGAAACCATTACTTAGATCTTTGCATCTCTTTATGCATTGCTTTTAATTAGTGAGTTATCTGCCAAAGGAGATTTGCCCTGTAATTCTTCTGCACCAACATATTAATATGATTAATCACAAAAGAATAAAACTAAACAGAATCTGAGGAATAACAAAGGATTCTTTGGCTCTTGATGACGATGTTCAAGTCCTAATTAAGGTATGTGAAAGCTGAAAACACTTTTTTTTTTTTTCTGAGTTTGGTTTAATTAAATTTTGTTTAGATGTTGAGGATTTAGATTGGTTCATATATAGTTTGGTTTAGTTCAATCCGGACCAAAATGATAACCAAATTCAATTAGTGATTTTAACAAAAAAAACTACAACTTAACATTGGTGTTGCTTCCACATATACACCTTTTTCTTTTTTTTTCTTTTTGGGTTTAACATACACATATACTTGTAAGTCCATGGTTAACATGAAGCTGATTATCAAATTTTGAAATACCATATACAACAAGAACGGTTAAAATGGAGGAGATATAGAAACAGACAAGGAAAAATCACACCAACGAAACACTTATCACTGGAAAAGATCAGGAGGTAAGGAACCATGCAGCAAAAAAAAATTAAAAAAATTTAAGGGTTTGTATTTTTGTGTATATATACTGTTTTCAATATAATCTCTTTATTTAAGATGCATTATTCAGTTTAACATAGTGTTTTCCTTAATTAGTCATATTGTATAATTAATCAAAAACATTTGATAAATATACTGAAAAATTAATAGTGATTAATTATTTTTTTCTCCATTTCCCAAAGATTTAACATTCTGATTTGAAATATTAGTCTTAACCTATTAGGGCATCTCCAACCATAACACCATTTTGGTATTGAAATAACACTATATTTAGTGTATAGTTTTTACAATAAAATTTGGTGAAGAAACTATTAACCCTCTATTCTTTCATCTGATAGTGGTTATTTAGTTGTTTATTTTACTTTTTAGACTGTCCTTTTAACTGAGAAAGATACGTGGATATAAATATGGTAAATTCTCTATGTATCTATTATCCGATCTCAAGTAATCCATTTTGTACCAGATCTAAAAGTTCACGGATATACATAAATGTGGATATCGAGAAACTTAAATGTATATACTTGGATATTTACATGTGGTGTATTACCAATATATATTTTTAATTTTCATTTAATTTGTTTTTTCGACACTTTGTACAAAACATACGTGTATTTTCGATTGATTCGGTTTTCGGGATATTAGGATATATATATTTCATATCATGATGACAAATATTCTGAGTTTATGGATTTATAAACACGAGTACTAAGTAAGTCAAGTTAAATTAGCATCGATTGTTTATTTGATGTACGAGTTCATATTATAATTTTTAATTTTTAATCATCACAAATGAAAATGAAAACGTAAACAGACCATTACTAATTTAAAAAAAAAGTAATTAGACTCCATTTATCTTGAATATATGTGATACTCATATTCTCCAACCAAATTCCATCAAAAATAAAATATTTATCTGATATTATGAAGGTTAAAGGAGTACAAAACAAATAGCAGATCGTACTAGATAAACTGTGATGACCTAAAAAGAAACAAATGTCGAGTGATGGGTTGAGACAAGACTGTCATCTTAATGTTAACATCTCCATGTTTTTTTGTTGTTTTGTATCCAAAAAAGTGCTTTAGTCTATTGGTCACCTCTTCAGCTTTCACATTACACCCAACGCTTATCATATCTCTATCTATTTGTCTACATTTCTTACCAAATGTCTCGTGATAGATCTTCGTCGTGTACTATCCATTTTTGGGGTTGATCATTTGTCTTTTCCTTTTTTTCTCTTTTGTCTAGGTCCATCCGTGAGCAATGTTTATGTGTATTTTTTTAAATTAGTATTTTACAAATGATTCTAACGAATAATTTTATTCGCCGGCCAGTTGTATATGTATTGTGATACGCCCTCAACCAAAATTTGTCAAACAATTATATCAAGAAATTTGGAAACAAAAATTTCATACAAAAAGCCAATGTAGCACTACATTATCCAAAAGGATAAATTTCATACATTTCTATATATATATATATATAAAAAAAACATATACGTAGTAGTGTGATCATTTATACGTTACGACTTACGATATTGCGTTTGCTAATAATAGGAAAGAAAAGGATAGAGAATAAAATAGAGGAAATGGTACTAACGAAGCATGTGAAACAAAGCAGCCTCATGCTTACAACTTAGTCTGCTTTCTTACGTACCTTTCGAAGCGAGACAAACGTAAGAAAACAACCCGTGACTCCTCTTATCTCTCTTCCCTCGACAGATCTTCTCTTATAATATACATTTATTAATATTTAGCTAACACACACATTTTGTATTCGTTGCTTATGCTATATATGTGTCGGTAGGATTCTTTTGGCTAATTCATAGGTATCTATCTGTCTCTGACAACTGGAATTTTGCCATTGTTTTATCCTCCTTTCGCGTTCGTCGATGTATGCTTCCACTCTCTTTATGTATTTTTCATTTATTTTATGTTCAAATTATGTAAGTCTATTGATTTTCGAGTTTTAATTTGTGATTTGTTTACAAGCAAATGTTTCTTAAGTACCCGTGCTTTTAAAGTGGGCAAGTTTTAAATTATGATTCAACTTATAAGTGAGGGAGGTACCATGTAAAGAGATATATATAATCTCAGACTTCACCTTTCAACTTCAAGATAATGGCCTGGTCGGTGCATTTTGAAACCATTGCATTTGTAACTTTTCACAGGCCCAATCTACAATATGAAGAAAAATATATATATCTTCAACCACCATACATATTCTAATTATACTTTATTATTTAAAATCTGATTTTGTTTATGATGTTTCAATAAGCTACCAGTTTATCACCAACATGTATGTTTGGTACACGACAAGAAATGTGTGTATATATATAGAGAGATCCCGAGATATATCCTTTAAAGTTCAAACAATATTAATCGTTGTCTCAAAGAGTTCAAAAAATTGAGAAAGTGATGGTGGCTAGTGAACAAAAGAAGAGGGCAAGCCAAGGGAAACCTCATTTTCTTAAAAATCTCACCCACTTTAAATTTGTATGTACAACATAAATATATGTTCATATCACTTGATGATTCTACTATTTTAAAATGTTTAAAGCCAATGAGTTATTATGCAGAGTATACATGAACAGAGCATGGTTATTAGGGAAGCTCTTCTATACATAGCCATGCTCAAACTCGAGATAGAAGCTTTGCAGAGAGAATATGAAGATCTCAAGATTACCAAAAAAGAATCTTTGCACCAATTTCAGGTTTCTCCTTTCATCTATTTCTTTATCATTGGTGAAGCTCTTCTATGTATATTACATAGTCATATTGAGAAACTTTTGTCTATCCTATGAAAAATTGAGGAGTTTTTTTACCAAAATGTAATCGAATATTTTTATATAACAACACCACATATAACTTTGATCATAGAAAAAGTGGATCATATTTTTTTGGAACTGATTAGCTTAATCTATAAACTTCTAAGCTCAAATATAAGCTCAAGATAAATGAGATGTTCATATGGCACTCTAATTGAGTTGTTCACATGGCACTCTAAGTTCAATATTATTCTTCTTCTTTTTTGAACTTTGGCAGGAGGTGAAGGTAGAGAAGATTGGGGAAATGTTTCAAGTAAAAATAAAAAGTCCACGGGGAGAAAACAATCTTGTGAATATTCTTGAAGCATTTGAAGAAATGGGGTTGAATGTGGCTCAAGCAAGGGCATCATGCCTAGATTCATTTGCCATGGAAGCCATTGTTGCACCTCAATCCAAAGACAAGCTTTGTAGTGTGGATGATTTGACTCAAACTCTTGTCAAAGCTCTTGTCAAGCCAAGTGTCCCACTGTAACATTTAGAAAATAAAAAAATAAAAGGACTTAAAAGGGGGAAAAAGCTCAAGAATGTGTTTCATATTCACTGGTGAGATGAAGTATGTCCATGCTTCTAAAGTTGTAAGTCGAGTTTGAAAAATAGACTTTTAAATATATTTTTAAGGTAGCTACTTCAAATCTATTTCAATAATTGTTATTGTTAGGATTTTTAATTTCTTAAACTACCAACATTGATTAGGAAAAATAAATTTTGATTTTAAACTCAAAACAAACCTTGAATCGACGATGCTTATCACCTCTTTGACGCGGAGTTAGATGCATTAGTTAAGGCCATGAAATGTACTCTTGCGAAAGGAATAGTCTCAATGGTTTTCTAATCCGATTTCTCAGACCTTGTAAAAATGATTGACAATCATAAAGAGTGGCCAACGTTCACCACAGAGCTAATTGAATTCTCTTTTCTTTCGTGATCACGTTTCTAACTATATTTTTTATGGTTAATAGTATATTGCTGACTGACTCGCAATTAGGAGCAAGAACACTAGGTCTTCTATGTTTCCATGTAACAACTTAGAACATCCTCAAATGTGAGGCTCTTAAAAATGGGTATTTGATTAACAAAAAAAATATTATTTTTATCATTATTTTTCTTATTTAATTAAATTTAAAGTAATTAACTGAATTCACCAATAAACTTAAACATCGGACAAGTGTTTACATTTTTGCTAGCGTTTAAAATTTAAATGCTAAATTTACATTAATCTTTATAAATGCAAAATGCTTACACAAATACAAATGTAAATTAAAATTTAGTGAAATGTAAATTTACATTAATCTTTTACAATATGCAAAGATAATGTAAATTTTAGCATGAATGTAAAATTACATTAATCTTTATAAATGCTAAATACTTATATTTGCATCAAATTCACATTTGTCTTTACATTTTTGCTAGCGTTTAAATTTACATTAATCTTTGCATATTATGCTTGCGATTATGTTTCCATTAAGTGCTCACATCACTTTAAGAAGAAAAAAAAAATCATTTATCGAATCATTTTAGCATTTTCCATTCTCTTTTATATATGTATATATTTTAATTATAACATGCATAATTTTGTTTGTATTTTTATACATCGTTCACACTTTTTGTTGCTTTTGACATTTATGTTTATATTGGATAGTTTTCGT